TTATCGGTTATTCTCAGACTTGCCTCCATCGTCAAGGCCAACTCATGGACCAAGACAGCTGCTGGAGCCCCTGCCATTGGTCTGCATCCTAAACAGCAGAGGACAGAAAAGGGGAAGAGCCAACGAGAACATTTTGTAGCTAAATCAGTTCCTTTTAGAGAGGCATTTCAAAAGTCCTTCACAATTATTCCAATTGCATTTAATGGGCTTGAAATACTTTAGACGGCCATATTTAACAGCAAATAAGCTTTGGGAAATGTAGACGCTACCATTCTAGATGGTAATGTGCTCAGGTGAGGAACTAGGTTTTGGTTAGAACAGAGACTGGATTAGAAGGCAAAGAGCAATCCACCCACCTACATTAGCGAGTATATGGGGAGAATTAGAATTCCTACAGGTACCAAGCCCCTACAGCACTCCAGACATACCACATGCCCAGTAAATTATACCTTTATTTTCTGTCATATAAAAAAGTTAAACTGCTGAAAGTAGACCCGTGTTCTTAATTTCTTTTATAACTGCCAAAATGCATGGACCAGGGCTCTCAACCTTGGCGCTACCGACACTTAGACCCGACAACTCTTGCGGTGCAGGGCTGTCCTGGGGGCTTTGTGGGTTGTTTATCAGCATCCTGACCTCCACCCACCTGATGCCTGTGACCCTCCAACACCACCTGTGACAACCAAAAATGTCTCCAGCCATTGCTAAATGTCCCCTTGGGAGCAAAATCACCCCAGGCTGAGAACCACCGCCTAAACCTACACTGGACAATAGGTCACTGCTCTATGTGATCTACAAGTTGAATGGTGCTAAAGACCCTTGAGTTTGTAATGCTGACTTCATTATGGAGAACTGAGTATAGGACAAAGATGTAGATTTTCCAAATGAATAATAAACAATCTTGCTAAGTTACACAGATATAAAATGGATTATGTATTACTTTTTTCGTAAAGGTAATGCAGTAAAGACGTGCTTTGGGGGAGGAAAAAATGTAATGCACAGGCTTTATTCATTCACTCCTTCATCACAAATATTTGTGGAGCAACTAGTATGTGCCAAACAGCATTCTAAGCTACAAGAGGAGAGGACACCACGGTCGACAAAGAAGAGTCAGTGCCCGCAAAGAGCTTACTTTCTGGTGAAGGAGACAGAGCCTGAGAGAGAAAGCAAGAACTCGATAACGTCACGCGTCAGGGTGCAAATGAAGCGTGTAATGGCGGGGAGGGGGTGATCTGGGAACGCAAGGCTGAGAAGGTGCACGTGTGCTGAGGTGTGAATGAGGGGAGGGGGGACCTGGGTGTCTCTCTGAGAAAGGGGAGCTCTGGGTGGGGGTAAAAGCAGGAGGAGATCAAGTAGGGGAGACAGAGTGATGGGAGACACAGGGCCAGTGTCCGGGTCTGAGCAAGACGGAGAGATACCACAGGTGTAAGGTGGAGAGCAGCATGACTCCGCTTAGATGGTTAGACGGTCTTTCCAGGAGCCCTGTGGAGACGACATTGTTTGGGGCAGAAGCAGCAGCTTGGAGACACAACAGGACGCTTGTGGATGGGCCGGGCAGGAGGTGAGTTGTTGATCTCCGGGCAGCAGGATGGAGAAGGCAGCGTTCCCAACTCCGGCACGCACACACCGCCCCCCCCCAACCCCTTTGCTGAGGGATTCCAGACCTATTATCAAATAGGTACGTGCCTGAATGTCCCCATCTGTAAAATGGAGTTACCATGACTCACGCTTCATCTCATTAACCTAAAGATGAAGAGCAAAAGACTCTATAGGTTCCCCAAATCTCAAAAGAAATGCAAACCGTACTTAGCTGCAAACGTATCCGCGGTGATCATACCCAAAGGAGATAAATTTTGATTAGCATGTAAGATTCCTTCCCAAAGATTCAGACCAAAGACAACCCTTAAACTTATGTCAGCTTTGTACTGTATTCCAAAGTTTCTGTTGGGGTTAGCTGTGACTTATTAATGCATTCTTTGCTTCCAGGCAAAAGGAACTGATTTCTTTTCTTGTGAAATGCAGTCTCTCATGTCAGCCTTGATCATTCACTGAGAAGATATGGTTTAACAACCTCCAGTCCTGGTGGGGGATGGGGGGGTGGTCCTTAATTAGGATACTTAAAAACATAGTTCACATGAAACTTTTCCATTCAAATTTCTTTTAAGTGGATAAAAAAGAATTTCTTAATGGAATAAGGAGGAAAGGGGCTGCTTAAATGAGAGATAATACTGGTAATTCATGTAATACTCAACTAATATAAAACAAGACAGAAACAGTACTTGGGAAATTTCATCAGCCTCATGGCATTTTCTGTCTCTCCCTCTCCCCCTCTCTATGTATGTATATATATGTTTTCCTGCCATGATGACATAAACAAGTTACCCAACATGCCAGCCGAAGAACAATATAATAGATACTAGAAAACGTCTTATCAGAACAAATGTTTAAGTTATTACCTAAAAAGAGTAAAACTACCATAAACCAGACATTTCATTTCTGCCCAAGATTTAGTAAGTCGGAGCTAAGCAAAGCTTACTTTCATCACATTATTTCACATTTCACCTAAGAATTCTGTTCCATTTTTAATAATATGCCTGTGTATTAAATGACATAATGTGTGCATGGATGTTGGAATGGATCGTTATAATAAAGTTTTTGGTTTAGGAATATTATTCTCCAATCATTGACTGTGAGATAATGTGTTTTAAAGACCTTTCAAAACAATAATGTTCTTCATAAATATGCAATTTCAGCATTATGTGTTGCTCACAAAAATCTTAGTTATAAAATAAAGGACTGTTTTGATTTTAAGTCTAATAGTCATGTTTTTGTTTTGTTTTAAAGATTTTATTTATTTATTTGACAGAGAGAGACACAGCAAGAGAGGGAACACAAGCAGGGGGAGTGGGAGAGGGAGAAGCAGGCTCCCCCCGCCCCCCTCCGAGCAGGGAGCCTGATGCAGGGCTCCATCCCAGGACCCTGGGACCATGACCTGAGCCGAAGGCAGACGCTTAACGACTGAGCCACCCAGGCGCCCCTAATAGTCATGTTGATGAAATGAATCTCATGAAACACTATTAGGATCCCAAAGTTGCCAATAGTTTCAGCCAGTAGTAAACTTTAGTTATTTATATACCACATATTACAAACACATACACACACACACACACACACATATGTATATGTATACATATTACCTATATTCTTTTTTAAAAAGTTGCAATGTTTTGGGATTGAGGTAAAATGTACACTATTAAATGTATGAATGAATATAATGACAACTTCAGAGTGTGTGTGGACAGGGAGGAAAATACTGAAAAATAGAAAAGAGACTTTTTAATTTAAAGAGTCAAATGATTTAACCAGCAATTCTAAAAGTTCTGCAACCAGTTCCAACTTGCGTGTGGATGGGTGGGCGCAGTTTCTGCAAACATCCACCTAGTTCTCCAACATCGGCTGAGTGTCCTACAAATTAACTCACTTCTGACTCTACCTGGTGACCGTGTCAGATCCCATGGGTTAAGGGCTTGGTCCCACAGGCTGCTCCCCACCCCTCTGCCGTGCCCTCCCCACCCCCACTTCAATGCCAATCACAAGTCCCAGATGTCACCTGTGCTTTTTGCCTAACCTGCTGTAGATGGGAGGGTCCTAATGACCCCCTCGTCGGCTTCCATTCATTTGCTAGGGTGGCTCAGCAGAACACGCAAGCAACATTTTACTTACCAGATCACTTTAGATGGGTTTATTCTTAAGGGATATTAGCTCAGGAGCAGGCAGATGGAAGAGGTGCACAGGGCCAGGCACGGGGAAATGGCAGGGAGCTTCCAGGGACACCACCTGTCCCCAGATCTGCATCTGCACTTGTTTCACACGTGGGAGCTCTCCGAACTCCCTCCTTTTTTGTTTCGCTTTAAATGGAGGCTTCACTATCTAGGCATGATTGATTAAATCATTGGCCATTGGTGACTGAATCAACCTCTAGCTCTCTCCCCTCCCTGGAAATCAAATCAGGGAGTGGTCCTGAAAGTTCCAACCCTCTATTCAGGGTTGGTTCTGCCTAGCAACCAGCCCCCATCCTTAGCTGGGTTCCAAAAGTCACCTCGTTCACATAAACCCCACTGTGGTGGAAAGGGGCTTGTTATGAGTAACAAGACACTCATTCACCTCTGAGGCTCCAGTGGGATTTTAGAAACTGAGGGACAAGACACCAAATATAACAAAAGATGGTCCCATTGCTCTTAATTGCTCAGAAAGTCCCAAGGGGGGGGGGCGCCTGGGTGGCTCAGTCGTTAAGCGTCTGCCTTCGGCTCAGGTCATGGTCCCAGGGTCCTGGGATCGAGCCCCGCGTCGGGCTCCCTGCTCCGCGGGAAGCCTGCTTCTCCCTCTCCCGCTCCCCCTGCTTGTGTTCCTGCTCTCACTGTCTCTCTCTGTCAAATGAATAAAATCAATCTTAGGAAAAAAAAAAAAAAAGAAAGAAAGTCCCAAGGGTTTGGGGAGCTGTGAGCCGGGAACCGTGGAAAAAGATCAAATATATGAAGAGTATATTCTGATCATCTGAATGAATATGTACCTGTCTTATAAATCACAATATCACAAATTCCCACAAACAAAACTACATACAAAATAGCTTAAGTGTAAGTAGAATGCAGTAAATCTTCTGGTCTAACCAAAAGATGTTTTCTCCTTAAAATGTTTTTGGATTAAAAAATTACAGAGAGAGAAATAAGGCAATATATAGAAAAACTGATATATGTATCTTGATTGCAGTGGTGGGTAAACTAACTGAATCTACAAGCGATAAAATGTCATAGGATGATACACGTACATTGTACCAATGTCAATTTCCTGCTTTTGACATTGTCCTACAAATATGGGAAGTGTAACTTTTGGTGGAAACTGGAGGAAGAATATGTGTAATTTCTCTGCAACTTCCTGTGACTCTAGAATTATTCCAAAGTTAAAGGTTTTTAGAAATATTGATACAGTTGTAGGGAACATACCTTAGAACATTGCTTGTGATTCTGGCACCAAATCAGGGAACCATTGTTCTGCAAAAAGAAAAAGAAATATTGGCTCATTGAGTAATTTTCTAACTGATAACTAAATACTGTATCATTTTTCAATATCGTCCTTAACAAAAGACCAATTTCGCCACCCTGATGTTCTCTCTTCCCAAAATAGAAAATGTGTTTCCAATGTAAGTCCAATTTCATCCTTGACTTCATGATAGAAACAGAAACATACGAAATAAGAAAGATTTCAAGCTGCCTAAAAGGAAAAGCATCTGAGCCACTTCTCCTGGTGTGCCGAGCTATGAGATGCAGACCAGCAGGAAAATGAACGCTAGACATTTCTCCCGCAGTAAGCAGTTTTGGTAAATTTACAAGTCAGAGGCTTTTCATCCCAACCCATTCGCAGTAATAAGAGTTTGAGCTTGGGCGTCAGCTTTTACCGAAAAGTCTTCTCTTTCCCTATCACCGGATGTGTGACTGTGGACAAGGGACTTGCTATTCCTGTAGCTCAGTTTATACATCTGTAAAATGTAACACTATCTCATGCATGAGGTCACTGGCATAAGGAAACAATACACATACACCACTTAGCATGGCTTGATAATTCACTCAGTATGGAAGAAATATCAGAACTATGGTTTAGTGTATCTAACATCCACATTTCTGCGGGGAAGCCTGTCATTCCCCATGACTAACATCTTGGTCATGATTTCTCCTTTGGCTGGGATATGTTATGTCACAGTGTGTGAGGCTGGGGTGGTTGGTCTCTTACTATCTCTTACTGGAGACCTCTTACTGGTATCTCTTACCGGAGATAGTAAGAGCCATCAACCCATATGGTTTATTGTGAATTTTGAGAACATCATCTTCTATCCAGAGAACAGTAGTGTTACATCTGTCCTCTGTTCATCAGAGAAAAGAAAATTAAACTAATATATCTTTTTAAAAATATTTTTATAACAAGTCCACAGAGACAGAATTCATACATGTGAAGTGCACTTCATTTAAAGTATACACACCAATGGTTTGTACTAAGAAGCATATTCTAAATACTGAGAAAAGTACTCACAAGGCCGTGCAACCATCACCGCTATCTAATTGTTGAACACTGTCACCAACCCCAGAAAGAAACTTGGATCCATCAGTAGTCAGTCACTCTCCCAACTCCCTCCCTCTACCCCTTGGCAACCACTGATTTACTCTCCTTCTCTGTAGAGTTGACCGATTCTGGAAACTTCACGGAAATGGAATTGTAGAGCACGGGGCCTTTTGTGTCTAGATTCTTCCACGTGGCATCACGGTTCATATCTGGCTAAATGGTACAGTGTTCTGCTTTGCCTATATTGCCGCGAAAATCGATACTTCCTTCCTTTTTGTCTGATTTCATCGTATGGATAGATCACATTTCTCTCTTCTACTCCCAAGAATCTATCTTAATATATCCCACTTCCAGTAATATATCTTCATAATGTAGGATTCCCACTGAATCAATCTCAACTGCAAAGGATCAGAAAGTTCCCTCCACTGGGCTCAGATCGTTGGGCTAAAAGCCCGCAGCCCCGTGTTAAATCTTCAGCTATGAAATCTACCACATGGCCCTAACTCTCCTTTGCAGCCTTGCATCCCCAAAACCACAACTCAGACCTACAATTTCCGCTAATCTGGTATTAACCTTCCAGTCCCCCGACTGACCTCTGCACATCCTCAGTGCACCCTCAGCTCTCGCTACATCTCAAGGTTCACTCGACGGACAAAAAAAAAAAGGACCAAAGCTGGGGAAGTATATGAACAGCCTGGGAGGAGGTGAAGTATGATTTTTGGCAGGGTTTACATCAGAGAAATAAGTAGACTGGGTAGACGCCAAAGCCGGACAAACAGTGGCCATGGTTTAATGACTGGGGATGAAGGGTTAGTAGAAACGGTGCAAGAAAGCAAGCATTACGTGCAGATCAAGACGCTTCAAGGGAGCCCCTGGCTTGGTGACAAACTCAAAGTGCACAGGGTGATCAGGCAGGCTCAGGTGTGATCATCCAGACATGGTGACAACAGCAAAAAGCTGAGGTCAGACACTTAGAGGTTCATTACGGAAAAGCTGAGAGCGGTGTCCAAGGCAGCTCTGGAGAGCTTCCTACGTGAGGCCCGCCTCACCATCTCCCCGGCGAGGGTCCTGTGCAAGGCGGGCTCTTGCTGGCACTTCCCAGGACCACACCCATCGGAGCACATCTGGGCCCCAACCCGAGTGTTCCGTGCTCATCGCCCAGTGATGGAGAGCAGTGAGGTACCTTCCAGAGAGACTCCGGGCTGAAAGGAGTGAACATGGATCTTGGAGACTGGGTCAAGGCCAGTTTCTAAACCAACACAACCTCTTTACCAGGGTCATGGTCTGAGGACCGTCACCCTCCTTGCACCAGGTTAGAAGGCCCTGCTCCTTGTGCGGGGAACCTTGACACAGCCCAGCTTCTGCCTGGTTCCCTCCCAATCTTTCCTTGTCTTGGACAGATGGGCAGGGCCTCTGGAGGACATACATGAGGTGGTGAGGTGGGCCCCACGTAGGAAGCTCTCCAAAGCTGCGTTGGACGCGGCTCCCAGCTTTTCCCTAACGCACCTCTAACCGCCTCTGCATTTGCCGCACGGCTCTTGAGACATGCACCCCACCGTCTCTTGCCTTAGGAGAGATTTATTTAAGCCAGCTCCTCGACAGGAGCTCCTTTTTCCTCTTTGCTGGAATGCTTCACACGAGCCAGTGGACCAGCCTCTGGCTCTCACAGAGATGGTTTCCATCACAGGCCACGTGAGGCAGACAGGGGCTGCAGGGTAGACATGGCAGTTGCTGCCGGCCCCGAGGGAGTGGCAGATGAAGTATTACTAATGGGGAGGGATACGTCTTTGCCAGGATTGTCATCGATCGAAATTATGGTTATACTATCGACCACACCTTCATAGCAGGCCCTTACTTTGACGTTCGCCATATTCAGCCCACGTGCACATCCCACGCGATGACATCAACTTCATCTACCCATTTTACAGTTGGGAAACGGGGACTCACAGAAGCCAAGTAAAACATCCACAGCCATGAAGCAAATGGCGACGCACAGCGGGGACACCACAATGAGGAAGGGTTCCGTGAAACAAGGGGTGAGCTTTACGGTGGGTTTTGCAGGAATCTCCAGCATCAGAATCTTGGGAGGAGGGGTAAGGATTGCTTAGGATGGTCCTGAGTATCATAGGTTCAGGAAGCAGCAGATCAGACTGATGAGTTGGAACAGAACAGGAGAGGAGGGTGGATCCATAGATAGAAAGCGGATTACAGTGGATTTGGACTTATTGCTAGAAATAAAATTTGTTATGGACTAAATCTCAGAGAATTGAAAAAAAAAAAACAGAGGATAGGAGAAGTCACGTATCTGGCACACCTCGATTTAGTTCCCTTTTGTTTCCTTTGACTGTAGGTAAAATGGCCAAACCTCAACAACAAAACACCAAGAATGGAGCAGAGCCTGCCTTGCGGCTGCACCTGTCAAACCAGTAACTGTAGAGCCTCTCTGCTAAGCTGTTTACATTTGGGGGTGGGGGGGAATTAACATCAGTGCATTTCCTCAACCAAAGCATTTTTGTTTGGAGCAAAATTTCCCACTAATCATAAAATGAGAAGCCCCAAATATTTGGGGCAATAGGAAGCAAGCATGAAAGATTATTATGGTGGTAATCGTTTTTTTGTTGTTTTTCTCACTGAAGATAGTATGACCTAGAATGCTTGGAAGGATCAAAAACATAATCCACGTAAAGTATTTAGCAAAATGTTTGCAACAGAGTTAGATGTCAGAAAAAAAGTCCATTATGTTTGCCGCTATGATTGTTTTCAGGAGCGGGGGAGTAAATTCTGTACTTAAAATCTCCCAGTTCCTCTGTATAACACAGTCCAATCTTATTAGTGAGGCTCAGAAGAAGGGAGCCCATCATGTTTTTCTCCTTGGATGGTAACCATCTTGCCACGTTTGCCAATGAGTGGGGAAAGGTATTATTTTCGGTTTAATTTCCTTCCACCATGTGTATTTCCTTCAGCGTGAACTGTCTGTGCATTTTACCATTTCTATTCTGGACTGTTTAACCTTATCAACTGCAGCAGTGCCAATTAGATTTAATACTCACTTGTCTATAATAGGTGCTGTAAACATTTTCCAGTGATCATTTGTCTTTTGAATTTATTCATGTTTTCTCTCCATGCAGAAAATTTCTATACACACGCGCGCACACACACACACACACACACGTGCTCGTGCTCGTGCGCATACATAGATAGGTCTGTCTACATTTCCTTTTTGGGCTTTAGGTTTCCTGTCTTTCTTAAAACAATCCCCCCCTCCCACGTCAAGGTTTTGCAGCTGTACTTTGCTTTTGCCTTTATCAGTCAGCATTTGCCATACTATTTATCTCGACAAAGAACTTCTAAGAACCCTGCCTAATGGCATCAAGGATGTTGGTAAACCCCTGATTAACTCCAGCTACTGTGTTTCAGCCAGGTGCACATACACTGAACCATCCAACTACACTGCTCACCTGTAACGCTCTCTGAGCAGAAGAGCAATGGAAAAATACAAGAATCCAGTACATTTCAACATCCTGCCCCGGGGGGAAGTTCTTAGATTACAATAGCCTTCACCAGTTAAGCCACTTGACAACAAAAATAAAATACAGTATTTGCAATCAAGTCTTGTTCTGGCTTAAAGCCAGCAAAGATAAAGAGTCAAAGTACATCAGACAAGAAAGGCGTTTGCGTTTTGAATCATTACTGTAACCTCCAGGTAGGATCAGACAGTGGGACTTTTGTAATTATATAAAGATTACATCCTGTATTTTATTGGTTTAACTAGATCAAACATGAATGCTAGTCAATCCAACTTTCAAAGAGTTTATATAAGTTCAATCAGCTGCACCCAGACATTATTTCAATGACATTTTCAAAGTCTCTCCATTTCTAGCTTTTTGATTTTTTTTCCTTACAGAAAAATAATTCTTCAAAAGCTTCAAGTAAAGAA